TTTTAGGACCTGGAAATCACTATTTACCTTTCTCTTGATCACTATCAGCAAGAGTTCTCTGAATACCTATTTGAGAACTTGTGTTAGAATAGGTCATAGTGCACCTACCCTTATAATCATCCCTCTTTTTCATGTATCATGTACCCCTTCTTGTTTTCGCCTCTTTATCCATCTCTGTGCACTTCCTTTCTTCCTCCCCCCTGTACCCTCCCCTCCTCTCCAAACCATTTACCCCATTTACCCATCTTTCTTCACACAAAGGGCTTTGAACTTTTACTAAGCTGCTGATAATTCCCCAATGACTGAAGCTGTTAATCAAAAATGAACACAAAAGATTTGAGTGGGGCATTTCCCACAATAGAAGTCAGTCCTTCTGTTAACCTCACATAAGCAGCTGTAGAAGACAATGCTGGATTTTTTCCAGGATGCTGTTATTTCTTGTACCCACTTTGATACTTCATCTTTCAATTCATCAATTTAGTAATGGATGGCTAGAAAGTAATTTATATTTTCTGCTTAGGAGAAAGAAAGTTTTTGGGGGGGGGGGTTGTTTGGTGGTTTTGTTTGCTTGTTTGTTTGGTTGTTTTTTTTTGTTCTTTTATTCACCCTGCTGTCTTTGGGCAGTAAAGATTGTCCATTGTGTAGTTCAGCCTGACTTGTCTTTTAGCTGATGAGTAGGAGCACTGGGAATAACTTTACTGTTCCTCTTTCTCCTCCTCCTCAGTTTTTTAAAATAATGTTCTAAGGAGAATTGCTTCTGTTTCTGACTAGTGGATCAGCCTATTCTGATAAAATGATGCTAATTTTTGTCAGCTACCTGACCTTCAGATGCCTGCCAGCAGCATCCAGAAGTGGAAGAAGCTCTGTCTGGTTTCAGACTGTTTGGTCATACAATCAGCAGCATCCAGAAGTGGAAGAAGCTCTGTCTGGTTTCAGACTGTTTGGTCATACAATCAGCAGCATCAAGCTCACTAGGCTGATCTGCTCACTGCTTTTGGACCACAATGCAGTATCAGAACACACCTGGTTCTTGTTTAGAAGAATTATTTGCTGTCAGTGTGATAGGTGATAGCTGCAGGCAAAGCTTCCCACTTTCTACAGGAATGTTTATGGATGGCAAGAGGGCCAGGTCTCTGGTTTGCCTTTCTTCACTTTGTCCCTCTGCTGTACTCTCTTCAGAGCTGAAAATGCAAATGATTGAACAGATCTGATTCAGGTACTCATAAGCATCTGCGTATATAAATTAAACTATTAATTCCATCAATTACAGAGAAGTCCTCTTCTGATTCTGTAGGCAAGCTGAGCATTCAGGATTTCTCTCTCTCTGCACTAGTCTTCCTGCTAACAGTTCACTGGAAAGGTTTTTTTCCTCTGGTGTGGCAACTGATTTTTTTTGAGTAGTTATCAACACAAAGATGATGATAGATTCTATGGTGAGAGAAGGAATTTGTATTTCTTCTTGTCCTGTGTAACTGACATGACTTTAACAATGAAACTGGGAATACATGTGTTTGTGTGATTATTTAATGTCTCTGAGTTGTGAGTTGATACCTGTAGGTGACACAGATACTACAATTTGTCAGGCTGCTACTGTTTGTTGGGAGGTTTGATTTCCACTGTACTTGGTGTGATCTGAGCCTTCTCCTTGAGCTGTTAACCGGGGTTTGAATGAACACTAAGAATGTGTTCTGTGCAGTGACTACTTCTGTTCTCTTTCTGATTGTCCTGATGGGTATCACATTATTTGTCCCAGTTATTTAGCGGCTGTCCCTTTTTAAGGCTGTGGTTGAATGGCAGGAATAAATAGAGCATATCTGATCCTCTGTGATAGAGGCTGCAGTCAGTGCAAACCATTCTTCTGCCATTGTACTCTTTAACAAAATGTATTGAACCACTCATGTTCTTCATGACAGTGCTTTGATGTGCTTTAATTTCAGCATTATTAGTCACTGCCCATATATGATACGTGTGTTGGTGGATGGAGTGGGAGGAAGAAGAAAGATATTTAAAACAAATTAGAGCTTCTTCCCCTGATGTGCATTACTATGTCTGACCATGAAGCCTATGACTGAACTATTCTTTCTGCATTTTAATATGTTGTTTGCCTTAAGGCACAGTTAGTTAATTCAGCTTGAATTTCTAATATTATTTTTAAAAGTCTGAGAAATGCAAAAGGAATTGCAGGCTTTAGCAGTGTTAGTAGTAAGATACAGAGGCAAGAGATACTAGAGTAATTAACAGTTCAATGTATTAATTAGCTCACAGAATCTTAAATAATACTCTGATGCTGTTTTCCATAAGTGAGGGAAGAAAATTATATTATCATTGAAAGCTTTTTGCAGGTAATTATTTTTATATTCTTACTGTGATAAATGATTAGGCTAAAACTGGGAGGAGGGGAGGAGCATCGATGAGGATGGACAGTATGGTGGGAGGGGCAGAAAAAATGCATCGTTACTAAGGTTCTCAGCTAATTAATCCTTGTTATGATAAAGAAAATTTAATCATGTACATAATAACAGGATTTTTGACTTAAGCAGTGTTTAAATTGGAGAATTTATGCTTTTCAGTGAGGGTATGAACAGTTCTTTAAATAACAGGGTTTAAAGGGTTAGATGAACAGAACTGAATCCGTGGGGTGTATGAACTGCAGCCCACGCTACCTGTCCAGTGCAAAGCAAATCCGCACAATGGGCAATTATTTACTCCAGCCTGTCTAACAGTCTGCATTTCAATTTGTCATTATACCCTGAATGTGTTCACTTCATACTGTGGTATTTGAAATCTGCCCTGTGGGTTTCATTGAAGTTTCTGTAGTGGCGTTATGCATCCTACTTGTCGGTTTCATTGTTGCTTGATGAAGATGATCTTCCGTGTCCGTATGTCTAGCCATTGTTTCCACAACCAGTTCAGTGCAGCTTCCTCAGCACAAACTGCTCTCCCTTCTCCCATTGTCCAGGACAGGGTGACTTCTGATGTTTGCTTAGCTTTATTTTTTTCTTTCTCATTATTGTCAAACTCTCATGGTAATACTTGGCACTTTTACTAACTTTATAGAATAGGATGTGATGTCTTAGCGAAGGGGACAGGGCTACCCAAATTTTCTCAATTGCAGGGAGGAGCTGCCCAGGTGTGCTGAGGGGACTGTACTCAGGAAGAGAAACAGGGAATCCTCCACAGTGAGTAACCCCGCTTTCAAGTGCACACAGTTTCCTTCATAGCCGTGTCCAGTACAGTGTAGCATCCTCTCCTGTCCTTTCCAGTTTGCCCTCTGGAATGTTCCCAGCTTGGTTCTCTTTTCCCTTTATTTTGGTGTATTCTCATTTTACCTTGTACTTTGTCTTCTTTCTGAAGGTTAAAGTTTCCATTTTTGTCTCTGCACACCATTAATCTTTTCTCATCCTAGTCTTGCTCTTTATACGCATTGTCATTTTTCCAATGTGTCATTGTTGTTCTGTCACTAATATATCATATCATTTCTCTTCCCTTGTGTGCAATGGCCCTTTTCCCAGCCCTGCACAGTTTCTTCTGTCTTTACTCATTGCTCTGCTTTTACTCTTTCCAACCTTCTCTTCTTTCTCCTTTCAAATTACCTTTTGGTTTTCCTTTCCTGATGGGTCCCTTTTGAATCTTGCCTATTGATGTACACAAGATAAGCTCAGTTCAGCTCCCTGACCTTTCTAGTGCAACTTTCACCTATACCTTTTCCTTTGTGGAACTGAAAGATAAAGGATACAAAGCTCCTATGTAATAAAGAATTGAAGGATTTGGTAAACTGCGTTTTGGCTGTGAAAGAGAGCAGGCAGGTAATCAGAGCAGTAAAATGGCAGAAAAGGGCTGAGCTGGTCAAGATGTAGTAAATAGGTAGTCTTTGGTTTTAGGTGAGCTGCTGAATTACAGCCCTGGCCAGCACCCTTCACAGTTTGACTTGTGTGATATGATCTGGTGGTGTCTCTAGTTCCTAGTGGGCAGATATCACATAGTGGTAGCTGCTTTCACAATTGCCATTATTTGCTAACTACCGCAGAGAAGCTCAGGATGATTTGAATTAGACCAAACTGATTTCATAGTTACAGAGGGTGGAAATGCAAGTTTTGGCTGAGATATGTTGGCAAGATGCTCTGGGAAGCTTGATTGCTGTGGCCTGTGCCGCACCTTTTACTGCTGATTGAAGGGTTTCGTTTTCCAGGGCTGTCAGTCTGGCATTTTACAGGAGCAAAAGAGTGGCTGTTTGTTTAACAGCATAAAACTGATGGGGACAAAAAGGAAGTGGAAAATCAGAAAAATTCTTGCAAGATGGTTCTATCTGTAAAGAGGACTGAGTTACTTTGGGCTCAATTGGAAAAGGCAAAGGAGTGGAAAACTGAGCTGAACTGGAAAAATATACTGCACTCTGTCATGTAGCATCTTGTGTGCTGTGACTGTTCTGACTGATTCATTTTTCATCGTTTTTAGAATAAAAAGGCATTTTAAAATTTTAACCCCACTGTGTCAATTCTTACAGTAGTTCCTGGTCTACAAATAGAAGGTTTTAGCCAATTTTTTTTCTGAGGTCGTGGCAAAGCAAAGTGTAGAATAGTCAAATGACCTCAAAAAATTCTAAGGTAATAAAAATCAAAGAAAGTGCTAGTGTTTTGGGTTTTTTTATTTATTTTTTTTTCCCTTTGGCTCTTGTGTTTTATGTATTTCCCCTCATGCCTGAATGAAAATCTGTTGCTGTGTCATAAAACCAGTTGTGTGTTCCAACTCTTTTATTTGTAACCTGGTAAGAGTTTTCCCAGGCAGATGTAGCAGATGATGTACAAAAGCAGCAAGTAAATCTTTTCCTTGCTGCAGTTTCCTGGGTTGTATCAGGCCTTCCAACAGACAGAGGACTCCAGTCTCAACAATATCATTCCCTGCCTTTTGCAAATGACTGCATAAAAACTGCATGATCACATAACCTTTCAGATTCACAGGACAGCTGTGCCTTGTCACTTACGTTTATTATTTCTTTTTAGGCATTGGAAAAGTATCCCAACTCACCAATGACTGCCAAACAAATACTGGAAGTCATTCAGAAAGAAGGATTAAAAGAAACAAGGTCAGTGTTTATATGTTCTGTATTTCTGCTGTCTCTGTGAAAACAATCTAGGAATGGTGTATAATCTACAAAACTTCAAGTGCTGGCTTCATTGATTTCCAGTGTCAAAGTGGGAAATACAGTTCACGGGTTTTGACTGTTGTTAGATCAAGGCTTTTAAAAGGGCTAGTGACTGTCTTAACTTTGTATCTTACCAAAGAAGTCTGTGGGCCAGTTCCAGTCCAGTGGTCTGTCTTTAGAAAGACAATGTCATTTGCTCAGACAGCGCAGTGCTACGTCTCGTTTTTGCTTAAGGACTGAAGGGTCCTTCATCAGCTGGGTTGCCTCTGCCACTGTGTGTATGGAGAAAGTGCAAGATGAAGCTTGGTGCACTTCTCACTTGAGTTTATGGTCTGGCACTTAAATCACTTAGGACTTGCTGGTGTTGTCTGTGGTGACAGAGATTGTGCTGATGAAGGACTGGGAATAGAAGGAGAGGGAAGTTTGGACACTGGGAGCTAGTCTGTGTCTGCAGAGCATGGATGCAGTCACTGATACAGCAACTCAACTTGCTTGATAACAGCACACTTTGGGTGTAGATTCAAGTGTTAATAATTACCCTTTTAGAGGATAGATGTGCTGTCCAGAGACTATGGAAATCAATTAGTTGTCTTCCATTGCTGTGTGGTTCAGATGTACATGCAGCTTTTTATTTCTCAAAGGTCACTGTCTACTTGCTAGGTCCTCTAGTGACCTTCAAGTGCAAACTTGGGCAGGAAGTGAAAATAAGGAAAAAATGGTTGGCTGGTGGGGGTCTCCTAGAAGATGCAATTGCCTCTTCTTCAAATATTATAGTAAAATTTTCTGTTTTAATAAATTAGTATTTGTTGCTATCTCAAAGCACAGGGAGACGTGCTTTTATTTTAACTATGTTCTTCCAGTGTGGAACGTAAGGTTCAGAACAAGAGAACTTCAAAGTCCAGGTAAAGGTGAACCAGAAGTAATCGTGGGACATATTTTTACTGAATTCACTGTTGTTCCTAGGAAACAGAACAGAACACAATCTGTGTGATTGTTTGCACAGCATAGCCATGCACTTCTTTTTTGGCAGCCTCATAACATGCTCATAATAGCTATATTTTGATAAAATTGCAAAAGAGATGATATGGAAAGTAAAACTGAATTTGCCATCTTTTACGGATTTAAAGTGCTTTAGTTCCTGTCAAGAAATTGCTTTGAGTATATTTGGCAATGATTCCAAGGAAACAAGGGGCTGAAAACTTTTGAAAATGAATGTCCAAACATGTGTTATACTGCAGTGATTTGCATACAACAATAACAAAAATGCAAGAAAACACAGTTTTGAAAATCTGTTCTATTAAGATACTGTTTCTCACAGCAGTGAATGAAATCCTTTCTTCTTATGTCTTGTGATATGAGACAATTGCGTGGGAGGGGCTCTAATGCCTGCTAATAGCATTCTTTGTAATTTTAAAAATTCTTGGTTTTGCTATCAGTGGATGAATAAAATTTTGAGTGAAAAACCTATGGAAAGGAATGAAGGCAATGTTTTATATTTAAAATATAGAAGAAGTCAAAGCCCTTTTTAATTGCTGCAGAATGAATAGTAAGAGAAAGATTCCTTTGAAGAGGTTCCAAAGTAGATGATCTTTCATTTCTTCAGTTACTAGGAAACTGAGAATTACAGAGAAATAGGAAAGAAATTCAGATTCATTCTGATTGTTATTCATGGTTTTTGCAGGTGTATGTGATGGTGTACTAGATTGCAGGATGGTGTATGTGGTCATGAGTTCTACAAAACTGAGAAGGATAAAATTCAACGTTCTTTATACTTGAAACATTTTCATCCTTAACTCCTTAGCCTAAACATTCTAAATTCTGCAATTTTAAAATGAGAAAATGTTGAGTCTGTATTGATTTATAAGTATTTGGATTTTCATTTAACTGCTGATTTAATGTAAAAGTTGTGTTTCTGCTGCATTTTAATATTGATTAGGGACACACTTTCAGAGTTACCTGCGTGCCTAACTCATAATAGGATCCAGTAAGGGGTTTGACTTCATACACAGATTTGTTGATTGGCCCTCAGCATGTAAGTAATGTTTAGTTTTCACAGTACTTGAATTTAGAGTCTTCTGCTTGCTTCATCCAGCTCTGCAATTTCTTTCAGTACCTCTCTGCCAGTTGGTGCCTTTGCTGTTACTAAAGATGGTCTTTCCTGGTCTCTGCTGCAGCCAGCTAAGATGAGCAAAGGATGTAAATTTATGATGTGCAGTCACCTGGCCATAAGCAGCAGAATGGCACTACCATATTTTATTCTGTATTGATTTGTATATTCTTCCAAGTCTGAATTTGTGCCAGGAATATATTGCTACTCTAATACACTTTACTTATTCCTTTATACAGATTATCATTGTCAGTAGAACCTTGGCAATTCTACATTAAGTTCTTAAAAATCTCTCCTCTCTACTCTTCCATTTATAGATGAATGAGGTTAATCGTTTTAGTCATTTTTCATATATATTGTAGCATTAATTAATCAAAAGCTTTTTGCTGTGTTAGTAAATCTGAAAGAATAATGTATGATTTTCAGCCATCTCATTGTCATTATGTGTAATCTTTAAAAAAACACTGTGACTATTCAGCCTCTTTTTCTTTTTTTTTTTGCCATAAAGACATAAAGTTGCATGCTTATTTTTGTATTACTCATATAATTAAATACAAAAGGATTAAATTCCAAATTTACAAAGCAGATATATGTTAGAAAATAAACCAAAAAACTCTACTGATATACCCTGTGAGAGTTTTTTACATCTTGGGGAAGAAACAACTCATTTTTGTTTCTTAAATATCTTTCCTGTTATGCTGTTTGGTTGTTTGGTTGGTTGATCAGCAGGCAGGCAGTTCTGCTACCCAGTAGGAGTAAAAACTTTTAAGGCAAACCCTTCAGGGATGTTGAAAATGTATGGCCTTCTACTGTGGCTGATGGGGTGGGAGAAGTATTTGCTTAACATTTGTGCCTGTGCTGATGGTGAAGGCCAACAAACCTGGACACTGAAATCTCTTTACAAGGAAAACAGGCAGCAGTTCACTTCAGGGTGCAGTAGTCTGGGTTTTCTGTCCTGAAAGCATTTCCCCATCCTGCTGCAAAATTTCAAGGCTCACCACCTGCTATCTATACACCATAGCATGAGCTTTTGCTGATTTTGCTAGTGTGACACAGACTACTAGTCAGAGTATGATCCACTCTCGCCTCAGTGCTCCTTTTCCCCGGTGCTACTGCCTCACTAGTTGTTCTCTATCTTGCATTTCTTTTGTTACTTATTCTTGTTAAGATCTAAAATTTCCCTTACTGAATTGCATTTAGGTCTTCTGCAGACTGTTTATCAAATTCAATGAAATTACTTTAACAGTGTACTCTTGTAATCCAGCATGCACACAGCTTTTACAAGCTTTAGTTGTCATCTCTTAAGTAGAACTTGTTTTCTTTTGTAGCATTATATTTCTCTTTGCTTATGGAAGTCTATGGGAAACAGTGACCAAAAACTTTCTAGGTTGGGCTATATGATACCTACTGCTGCTTCTCCAGCTACAGGACCTGCTGCTATGTCACAAAGAATATTTTGATAGATTTGAAGTTCTTGACATATACATTACTCAACTTCTTATACCCATAACATGTACTCAGCAGTATATATTACTCAACTTTTTATCTGCCAAATACTTCCAAATAATTTTTATTCTGTATTTTGGGGGAATTGAAATTCAGTTGCTGCATCTCTACTTCTTTGGACCGGTTTTTTTTTATTTTTTTTTAAAGCTAATTACTGAGTGTTTTCCATTCTTTTGGAATCACTGATATCCTCTACAAATTCTCAAAAATTATTACTGATAATTCTGAGGCTGGTCCAGTCAGCTGGAATTACCTATGGTGAATGTCAGTACATTTGACTGATGTGAGAATACCTAATTTATTTAGTTATCATCAAATCAATTTTCCCATGCTTCTGGTGTTCGTTTTAGCAGCTGTCTAATCATAGTCATGCTTCTGATTGGGCATTAAAACTCCTGTGCTTTGAGTGTAAGTACTCAGTGCCAGCCCCTTCTTGGAAGAGCAAGTCAGTTTCCTCTCTGCTGGTGTGCTTACAGAAATTTCTTTGTGCATATTGTGTGGGTGAGCTTTCTGAAGTTTAATTTCCTGAAGCCCTTTTCCTTCTCTTTGTATTCTTCCTTGTTTTCCTAAAAATGAAGAATCATCCCTTCATGAACACTCAGTGTTTTAGCTGCTTTTTCCCCACGGGTACAAGTCAACCTAGTACAGTTCCAGAAATTTGCCAGATGCTTTTCTGTCCCTGTCTTTTTTCTCTTGATTTTGTCCTTCTTTGTCATTACCTGGAAATTGCCTGTAGAACCAGCAGAAGTAAGCTATCTCTTCCATTCTGTTTGGAGCACTGCACCTTTGTGAGGAATAGGACCAATTGAAGACCACTTAAAATTATTAGGGAGATAAAAATAAGACAGAGCTGGTATGAATTTTAGTTGTTTGGATTAAGGAAGAGAAGATTGAGTATAGGCATAGCAAATCTTCAGCAACACAAAAAATAGAAAGAGAGTGAAGGAGTAAGTTACCTTGAATGTCTGTTATGGACAGAACAAGAATAAGGCCTTTAAATTGTAGAAAGAGAAGATGCCAATTAGAAAGTACAAAGTTTGTGGTTTTTTTTTTTAACAGGAATCATTAATTACTGTCACGAGCCATGGAAGAGATGTTGGTAGGTCTTACCACAACCCAGTGTAGCGATGTGTCTGTCAGGAATTACATAGATTTGGTTGATCCTGCCTTGAACTACGGAAATGAACTAGTATATCCTTTGATCCAAGTTTTTCTATGAATTTTTCTAGAACAGTTTTCAGTACTTGGGCCATACACATTGTTTGAGTCCTGGGGGAGAATATCCAGCCAAACTCTGATAAATCTTTGATGCTAATAAGCCTAGATTATGTCTTGGCTTTCTGTAGTTCCCTTTCTCTTTTGCATGGTGAGGCTGGGAAATTGACTTGTCTGGATAAGATTAAAGCCAAAGACTCTCAGTACAAGTTAAAAGCCAATAAACTTTCAAAATGGGACAAGCTGCTTAATTTCTTGGAGTACAACTTCAGCCCACAGCTATGCTAGCTATTTGCTTTCCTCCTCCATTAGACTCAGGACTGTGAATGCTGGATTGGGATAATTTCATAGTGTTTTTGCTATTCAGCTGAAGTAATTGACTTCTTTATGGTCAACTAACTTGACCTTGGTGTTATTCTGTTCAGGTAATGCATAGGAGAGTTTTTTAAAAGTTGCTTTGT